AACTGATATTTTGGATCATAGCACCTTCCCAAGATTTTCACCCCCTCACAATATAATCTTAAATTTGTCTGACTTGGTTCTAACTCTTTGAAATCTACACAGCACCTCATTGTTTTCTTTTGAATTTATTGAAGAAACGACCATACTGATGGGACCAATTGCAGCAGACCCCTGTGGGCCACACATCCCTTTGAGTCTCATTATGAGGATTTGAAGCGATGTCATCTTCCTCAGACGTAAGAACTGGATTGAACTCCCTTGCCAAAGGGTTCAATTTGGATGAGAGACCCAGTAACAATTCCATTGATAGTTGCTCTTCATCTTGTTTGAATCATTGTATTCTTAGTTTTCTGTCTTGTTCTATGGCTAGTACTATCTTCTGCATACTCTATATACATCTCTTCCTCAAATGAAAAAATAAATCCACATGGTCTTAACATTTATTTATGCAGCGTTCAAATGGGACTCTCATCATCTTCTGCTTGAACTTTGTATATTGGAAGACTTTGATCCATCTAATCCAAAACAATGTGCACAACTGGTTCCCATCTGTCCAACAATTTCTGCATTCTGTACGAAGACTCTGTCTCCTGGTTCAATGCTGGATCTCACAACTTTGGTATCCTATCTCCTTTTGTTGACTTGATGCTTTTCACTTTCTTTGATGGCCAAGTCATAGGCATAATGCAACCTGTCTCTCACATTCTCCTGATGAGTTACTTCACTGCATAGCTTTATATGAAGCACATATAAATTCTTCAAGGGGATCCACAGTGACTTATAAAAATTTCCCACAAAGTGTTTGCTACTGTTCTTGATATCTAGTTTCTAGTAGGATAAACATGAGCATATTTAGTGTTTTCAGGGGTTACTAAAATATTTTTGATGCCAGTCGCATCAGGTTTAAGAGTCAGAAAGTCCATACAAATTAGTTGGTTATAAAGTTTGCTAGGGTGGAGGTTGTTATTGGAATATCTTCTACTTTAGAATTATCATGGAAATTATCATAGTTTTTCCTGTCTCCTCAGCTAAAAATGTTGACTTCATCATCTATACAAATTACCTCTCATTGTCCATGAAATCTTTTTGTCTAGCATTCTCTCCCAATTCTACAAACCACACTGGGAATTTGGAAATCACATGGTAACTTTCTTTCCCCCTTATCTCTTACATTTTAGTAACAGTACCATATTTTTCTATAGCATTCTTAATTTCTCCCTTTTGACCCCCAGAGTTCATATTGGTCAGCAATACTGTTCTGTGCATATCAAACCTCAACATTACAGGAATTTTGTATCTGCAATTCTACTGAAAGCCCATCAATTTGAGAGCCAATTTTGTAACACTCTATCTATCTGTCTGTCTGTCTGTCTGTCTGTCTGTCTGTCTGTCTGTCTGTCTATCGCTTAGGTATCTGGCTAGAGAAACAGAGGTTCGGCGTTTGATTTCCCCACTGTGCCTCCTGGGAGAAGAATCAGCCTGTGTAGCCTTGGGCAAGCTGCACAATCCCAGAACACCCTCCTGAAGAAGGTAATAGTAAATTCTTCTGAGTATTCCTATCTGGAAAACCCTGTAAGAGTCTCCATAAGTCAAAATTAACTTGATGGCATATGATTATACAGTACATATATAAAAAAATAATGTGCCATCAAGTCAATATAGATATCAAAAACAAAGTTTTGCTTGCAATTCTACTGGAGATCCCACATCACACTGGGTGCCATTTTGTAACACTCTCTGGTTCTATGGTGTTCTATATATTTATAGTAAAATGGGTATGCATATGTCTAACGAAACAACAAAACTCCAAGTTCTTTTCACCAGCACCAAAGCAGGAGTTGCTTGAAGAATCAAAGAATTCAAATGTCTCTTTGAAGCCAAATGGGAACAAACTCCCAGACATATTTATCAACTGAGGTAGGATATCCATAGCACAAAGTAATTGGCTCCAAATATGCAGACTCTAAAAACCTAAATCAAGGCGGTAAGGGCCCTATTATTCTCCCGGGGAAACAGCTACTGCCTCTCCAGTTATCCTGCTCTTTCTTAACTGAAATCTTGGATCACAGCCCCTCCCTAAGATTTCCCCACCCACTGGGCTGAACCAAATAGACCATAAGGTTTACACAAGCACATGCAGACTTGCTCTTATAAGTTACTCAGGTGTATGTCTTTTTAAGGAAATTTGGTATGCTAGTTTCAGGGATCTTGTCAAGTATTATTTTTTTTTCAGTCCTAATTAACCAGCATGCTCACATTTAATGGCTAAGACTTTACAGCTGGATTGGCTATACTTTGTAACACTCTAAAGATACATGCCATATGTAGTGAAAGATACATACTGTATTCTCAATTACAAAGCTCAGCGAGAAAGCCACCAGTCCTCAGCCTACACGTACTGTATCTGGTTTTCATATGAAGACAAAAACCAAGACCCCTTGTTCTATACCATCTTAAGCACCTTGGAGGATGGATTTTAAAAAATGTAAAATACCTATTGTTTTCTGACTAGCAGGAAGAGTTGTCCAGATTAATTGTGATGGTGAATAGTTAGGACCCTCTAAAGTAGGGTTAGGAAGCCTCAGGTCCTGGAGCAAAATCTAGTTTGGGCCTCTACTGTTCCCCAAACAATTAAGCCTCATCATCACTTAGTGCTTTTCCACCTTCTGTTTAGTTTTCCCCCCAAATTTAAAATACTGTAATTCGTCCTAAGGTTTAGTTACTTGTAATAAGAGCCTTAAGTCAGATTTTGGATTTGCCCCATGGAGTGCTGCCTCTAAAAAACTGAATATGGTCCTTGGACTGAAAAAGATTTGCCCTCTTGTTTTAAAGCAACTTACAGTAAGTATGGGGCTTGAAAGCTCCTGTCAAGATGGGGCTCATTATCTAGATGCTCATCATAAGTTTAAAAGAGAAGCAAGCATATTGCATCACTGAAATTAAATCCAGAGAATCACCATTGCTAATAAAGGGAGGAAGACTTGTGCCTTACTGAGGATTCTCCTTTAGCACTGCAGATCTTTCTGTTTAAGTCTTCTGGAGCAGCTACAAATTTGTGCTTATTACAATTTTGCTGTGAGGTTTGTGATACAACATACAGTACAATTGGCAAAGTGCATTGATTTTTGTTACATGGATCAGCTTACCTTCAAAGTTCTTGTTTCTTTTCCATTGTTGCCCAAAGCACCTTTTAACCTACTCCAGGGATCTTGTAAAGATTGGTGCAGAATACTGAATATTTCAGGGATTAATGCCTGTTATATTTGTACCCTGCTTTACCCTCTTTCAGAAATAACTACAAGGCCTGGTAAATTCAGTTATACACACTATACACACGAATTTGGGGAGGGGAAATTGGACCTTCCCCTACAACCATAGTTTTCCACATCCTGTCTTCATATCTGTTCTATACTATGACCCTAAAACTGCTTGTTGTTACATTTTATTTTTTTATTTGGAATCTTCTTTGAATTCGATTATCATCATAGGAATGTGGGGTATTTATTTATTTATTTTGTATACCACCCCATTACTGCAATGCACTATTCTGGGTGGTTTACATCAATAAATGTCAAGCATAAATAAATGAACAAAAGCTCACATTTCCAGCTTTAAAACCAGCAGTCTTTGAAACATCTCCTAGCTGCTCTTTTTGCCTCATATTTCCTTCCAGAACACCTGGCACTGTCTTTTTCTCTTGTTTTACATGAAATCATAGAATCAGACCTCGAAAGCACCTGAGGTCATCTAGTCCTACCCTAGGTAATGCAGGAAATCCCAGCTAAAGCATCCCCAAGAGATGATCAAAAACCTCTACCATATTCTAAGGTGGTATGTTCTACTGCTGAACAGCTCTTATAGTCAGGAAGTCCTAAATGTTTTGTAAAGTTTAGTCTCTTTCCTTGAAACTTTCTGTTGTGAACCACCCAGAGTGGCCTCGGTAGCCAGATGGGTGGTATAGAAATTGAGTAAATGAATGAATGAATGAACTTGAGTCCACTGGTGTGGGTCCTGATCTGAAGAAGCCGGAAACAAGCTTCTTATTTTCCATGATAGCCCTTCAAATATTTAAAAAGCCTCTAAGTTGTGTTTCCTTCAGCCTAAATTACTCAGCTTCCTCAGGTGCCCCAGAAGACTTGGTCTCTGGACTGTTCAACATTTTGGTCACCCTCCTCTGGACATCTCTAATCAACCTGCACATTCTCTGTACATTCTCTCTCATAGTCCTCTCCCTGAACTCTGCTAAACTTTAATTTTATTCACCTTCATTTCCATGGCCTCCTCACTGCCCTTTAATTCTCTTATTTTGCTACCCCTTACCAGTCTTTTCATGTGTTGCCATCCCTGACATCACTGGCTCAATTTAAATAACAAGCATCTTTAAATTGCTTGCAATTTAAACTGCGGGCATCGTTAGGTCAGGGATCTCTCCTTTGCTTCCTTCTCAGTTTCTGCTTAAAAAACTGAGTCATATTTGCACAATAAAAACAGTGAGATATTTAAATACCATACATCTTGATGGAAGTGCCACCATTAATGACAATGGTCAGTACCCTGTTGCTAGTTCCAGTCACCATAGACTTATTAAATCAATTACAGAATGAAAAGTGAACACCTATGTAAATCCCATTAAGTTAATGGGTTTACTTGTGCAGACTAAGGATACTAGCCAGACTACTGAAAATAAGGATACGTATTACAAAAGGGCAGTTTTCACCCACGTTAAAAGAATTAAATGTCTCCATGCTGGACGTTCTTGTGACTCCCTCATGTTTTGCCGAAAGGAAGCCACAAACTATTGCTGGACAGTAAGACAGGAACCCAAACGTGGGGGGGGGGGAGAAAAATTGAGGGGGGGGAAGGATCAGAGTCTCCAGCACACCAAGCGTGAGGGGGGGAGAAAAATTGAGGGGGGGGAAGGATCAGAGTCTCCTAACTCCCTAATGGAAGAGGAGCTGCATTAAGCCCGTTAACATCAGCCAAATGGTTATCATCAATTTTTAATCAGAAATAAATCCAGAAATATGGTAAGCGAATCCCAGTAGCAAGTAAATTTAAATAACGGTCATGAGGAAATCCAATCACTTAAGTAGACGAACTCGACAACCCGGAGAAAGGGAAGGAGCGCGGCGGGAGGGGGAGCGGGTGCCCGCTCCTCTCCATTTGACAAAAGGAGAGGACGACAGTTATATTAATAAAGATTATAAAGTGCTGCACAAAGGCGAGCTGGTCGGATCCATGACTATTAACCCGTTCGCCGGCTGGCCTTTCGCTTGGCCGCCATACACGCCACCTTGCCAGGTTTTCCCGCCTTTCGCCGGCAGCATCCAGGCGCGCGGCTCCCGCCTTTCCAAGCTGCTGTGGGCCCGGCGCCTCTGCCTCTGAGGGGCAACCGGGAGCCGCCGGGCTGGTGGCGTAAAGAAGAAACCCCTCTGCTTTCCGTGACCGCTTTTTGACCCTGGAACGGGAGGGAAAGTCTGTTCCACTGCTGCAAAGGAAGCAAATAAAACAAAACAAAAAAGGTTCCCCCGCCAGAGCTTGAACTCTCCTCAAGCTGCGACTTTGCAAAGAGCCCTGAGGGAAGTTGGACGGGCTGGCGGGAAAAGGGGGGGGGTCTTCTCCGGGCAATGGTGGAAATCCCGCGCGGAGAGCCTCTCCGTCCTCGCCCTCCTCCCCTCTGCTAGCCAAGGAGGCGGAGGGCGGGGGGGATAGGATGGTGCCCAGCCTCCCCCCTGGGCTGCTGGCGGTGCTGGGGGCCGCTTGGCTTTGGCAGCCATGCCAGGGCAACTGCGGGGAGCTGAAGTGCGAGGAGCGGGAGAGCTGCTGCAGCTACGGAAACGTCACCTACACGGAGGTCAAATGCTGCAAGCTGCCCTTCCACACGTTCCTGGACAACGTGGGCTGGTTCGTGCGGAAGCTCTCCGGGCTGTTCATCTTGCTGGTCCTTTTCGCCATCGGCTACTTTCTGCAGCGCATCATTTGCCCCAGCCCGCGGAGGCATAGCCGGAGGCGCCCGGGCCAGCAGCAGAGCGAAGAGGACGACGAGGACGAGGAGGAGGAAGACGACGAGGAGGCAGACGAAGGGGATCTGGACTCGCCGGCCCGCGGCGGCACCCCCCTCAACGTGACGGCCGCCACCTCGCAGGACTCGCTGTTGGACCACCGGAGCAGCCGCGGGCAGCCGCCGCCGCCGGCCGTGCCTCTTCTGCACCTCGTCTCGCCCGCCTTCTTGCAGCTGCCTAGCTACGAAGAGGTGAAGTATTTACCCACCTACGAGGAATCCATGCGGCCGCAGCAGCAGCAGCAAGAGCCGCCTGTCATCCTGCCCATCACCAGCCTGGCCACAGGGGTGGGCAGAGACCTTGCAGAGCCAGATCGCTGGGCAAGAGGCAGCTGAAGCCCGCTCCCTTCTTCTCCTGCCCTCCCGCCGTTCGGCTCCTTCCTTTTCCTATGGCCTGGAGCTGGTTTCCCCAAAGCAGAAGGGGCTGCGGAGCCCACGTGGCCGGCGGTCGGAGCTCCCCCTGTCCCTGGAGAGATTTGGGGAGAAAGGGGTGTGTGTGACAGGGCGGCACAAGGGTCCTCTTTGGCCCTTCTCTGCTTTGTGAGGTTACACACCCGGAAAAGGTAAACCTGTAGCAGGGAAAAGCAGGCGCGATCCTCTTCTGCCTTCTCTCCGCCTAACGAAAAACACCGCCGGCCTTTCATAGTTTATGAATTGTATAATTGTCTTGTAAGTGCCTACTTTAGAGGCGTGCATTTGAGGACGTTCAGATTGGAAATGTTCGGGAGGAGGAGAGATAAATTTTGATTTTCGTTTTTATTCTTTCTGTTAGCCGTTTCTGCCTTACCATATTCTGTTGATCACTGCAGATTAAATAACTGAAAAGGATCGATCTGATAATTTTCTTGCGACAAACCAAAATCAAGTTGGTCTAAATGATTTTTGGCTTTTTTTGGAAAGCTGCTTTTAAAAAATACAACGAACTACATGAGAATTTGTCTTTTCAGCTTTTCAGGATCCTTGAAGATGAGGATGAGGTAGGGGAGTCAGTAAAAGATACTGAATCTGTTATTTGAGCCTTTGGATTAAATGCTTTAAAAAAAAAAAGCAGTTTTGGGCGATTGCATTCTAAAAGGTTTGGTAATGCCGTAACTTGAAAAGTTTTCTTTTAGGAATTTAATAAAAGTGACCCTCCATCCTTCTCATTGCTGTAACTGAATTGATAAATACAGTAGTAGCAGTCTTCAGGCCTTTTTTAAAATTTGGATTTTATTCTCGCTGTTGGTCCTGACTGTGGTGTGCTGCCTTGTACCCCTTTAATACAGAGGGCTGGTAGCCCTTAATGCAGAACAGCAATCATGTATTAATTTTTAAAGTACATCATGTCCACATACAACCAAATAAGGAGATACCTGATAGAAAAAGAGCTCAACTTCAAGGGGTTATCAAACGGTTTGGACTGCCTTCACTGTATCAGAGTCTGGATTACCTAAAATATCCAGTCTGCCCTTTGGATCAGTACACTTCTTCATTCACAGACCAACTGCTATACTTGTTCACTTATTACCTACCCAATATCTTCTGAAAATTAGGAAAATTATGTGTCTTCCATTCTTGGTTTTGTTTGGTTCTTGTGGAGTGGTGAGAGAGGTGGTAAATGTTTTCATAATCTCCCAAACTTTTTTTGTGGTCTTTTAGTTGGCCTCTATAGTGATATTCCTTGACTGCTGTATACTAAACTAATATGGTAGTGTGGTGCCTAGTCTTCAATTCTAATGACACCCTACCTTTGAGTTCACTAGGATGCCTTCGTAGATCTGTTATTATTTCAGCCATATCTCCTAAAGTGCAATATGGAGATAATACCTTACAACCATTGCTAAGATAATGTTGTAAAGCACCTTGGACACTTGAAACCTAGTATGTAACTGGAAAGAGTTATGATGAGAGTAATGACCATGTATTAGTAGTAATTTTAAAGTGCTGAGAATAATAATACTACTTTCCCTGCATCTTTTTATCCTATGGCTGTTCGACACTGGCCTTGTGTTGGCAGCTGGAAACTGTTCTGCGAGTTGGTTTCCAGAGTGGGAGTCCAAAAAGTAATTTGGTGTTGCAAACAGTAAAGCTCCATTTTGGATAATACATGGTGCTGTGCAATATTCTGCCTTGGTCATGATGCCTGCCCACAAACAGTACACTACAGACAGGCAAGAAGATTTCATTTGTAATACTTGCTAGCATCACCTGTGATTCCACTGATGATGAGAGTCTCTACTGAGTGAGTCTGGTTCAGCATGCTTAGGGCTGTGCGTTTGACTCTAAGGCTGCAATACTGCTGACGTCTGGCTGTGTATTTCCAAGACAATATCAGTACAGTTGGTCAGCTCTACTGCCACCATGAAACATGATGAGGGAAATTCTGGAGCCTTCACTGTTGGTGACAAAAACGGAGAACACATCAGTATCCATGTTTTCTTTTCTTTTAACCCACAGTGCACCATATCCAGGAATGTTAAGGCAACACATTCTGAGAAAACAAGTGCGATGCAAGCAGTGCAATCACAGCCACTAAGAAGATGCCCCTAAACACAGGAGATAGCTTTGCATCCCTACAATTAGATCTGCAAATCAGTACCCTGATGGTGATACTCATTTGTCTGCTTCTTTGTATCTTTTCCAAGAAATCAGCAATATACTGTAACATGAAATTCTGTCTATCAAGTATTAAAATAGCACCTTAAATGCATCTGTGTTTAACAACACAGCTATGGATAAGACAAAAGGCAGAATATCCCTAATACAAAGGGAAACTACCTGTTTCTTGCTTTCAGTTGCTCCTCTGAGTGGGATGAAAATTAAGTGTTTCATATTTAAAAGAGAGCAGACTGTGATGTAGGGAATGCTTGAAAGTGTAGTATATAAAGAAAGGAAAATCACATTTACAGGCATAAAGGTCTATAATAAGCTACACTGCTTGAGGTGTGTATTCACAGGCTGGACTTCACAATCCACTTTGTCAAGAAAAATCTATTGCTTTGGTTTGTTTAAAACAGGATATGCCGAGCAAGAAGGCTACATGTGATAGTTTTGTGCACTGATCATAATATTGAATCATTTTGACTTAGCATTTCACCCAAGTTTGGAAATAATGATTTTGTATTCAAGAGAGTGTTTTGACTTAGAATGGTTTCTATAGGTACACAGGCCTTGAAATGGCATTTGGTTCAGAGAATGGTATCCAGTTTTTTAATATCTGACCTTTAATTCTACCATACCAGCTTTGGACTATTAGACCATCGAATTACATAAAGTCACAAAGGATTCTGAGTCTCAGGCTCTCAGTTGCCATGAGTTGTTGACCATATTAAATAAAGTTCATAAGTAGGAATTCTTGCACTTTTTCTGTTCATACTGCTACCTAGCATAAACTGAAAGTAGATCTGAAACACAAACACTAGCCCTTTTCATTACAGCATTATTTTCTGGACTCCATTTAACGTATACAAAATAATATGGATGGACACTGCCAGAGCCGTGAGAATAGGTAAAATTTCAGGGAATATCATTCCCAACTTTGGATTCTCCCAGCCTAGTGGGCAGGTCTTCGGGCAAGCTTTAGAATCCATTTTCATTGGTCACATAAATATCTATAAACATGTTATGGTCAGATGTATCACTCTCTTTCAAGGACTAAGCTGAGGGAAAACCAGTTCACACTCTCACCAATTTTTTTGAGAGGTTTTACAACTGCAAAACATAGAGTAAGGTTTTGTTATGGCATTCTTTTCAGAATGCATCTTAATTTTTTTAAATTATTCATACTGCACTTTTTTTGTTAAGAAAACCCTGAATAAGTGAACAGAAACTTCAGAAAATTGTAATTACAAATTTAAAACTAAGACTATTAGTATATAAGACAGAACATAAAATATGGGTTTTGTTAAATGGAAATTATATCTTTGGGATATAAAGATCATAGCAAGATGGGAGAAAGCTATCAGAGTTTGCCATTATGGGTTTCCATAAAAAAATAACATCCACAGCCGAAGCAGGCCATTTTAAAAAGTGTCTCTCATACATTGCCAGTTAGCAGCAACTTAGTTTTGAACTAACACAGAGGATAGCCTTTCTGGAGCAGGTATAACAAGAAAACAGACTCAAGTGGGAAGAGATGGTCCATTATGTAGGTGATGGAATAACAGGACAGAGATATCTTTAGGCTGTGGCACTAGACAAGGATGTCCCCTTTCCTTAGTATTGTTTGGTTTAGTCATAGAAGTAATATTAGAAAGCATCAAGAAATTTTAGGTATTGGTACTAAAGATATGAGTTAAAATTAGGTTATTTGCACAAATTATTTTATTAACAAAAGAAAACCCAATAAATGCTGTGGAGAGGCTAATACAACATTTAAAAGAATTTGGAGAGATAATGGAGTTATAAATTGGTATAAAAAAGATATGTTGGTGTTTAACTGTAATGAGGAAAAATAAAACTTATGAAAGAAATGGATGTTAATATTTGAAATCTATGAAATATTTAGTGGTAAACATTCCAGTTAAATTAAAAAGATTGAAAGAGGATAATTTTAAAATATTGAAACAAGGTATTAAAAATGTTAGATGATTTAAGAAAATTTGGACTTTCATGATTTGGCAGAATTGCTCTAGGCAAGATTCTACCTAAGATAAACTTTCTATAATGTTACCAATAAAGATAAGTGAAAAAAAGAATTAAATGGCTGGCAAAGTATAAATAATAAGTTTTATAATGGAGATAAAAAGTCAAGGATTAGTAAGAAGAAATGGTGTAAATCTCAAATAGCTGGACGGCTGGGACTTCCTAATTTAAGGTTATAACATATCTCTAGTCAACTAGGAAATATACTAGATATTATAACTCAATCTAATAAACTAGTTTGGCTGAATATAGAAATATAAGACTTACATTGGAACCCTGATGGTAGAATTAGACAGATTCCCAGAAAATTTGAAAGGAGAAATTTTAATTTATTAAGAAAGAGATAAGTTATTAAAATAAAAGATTGCTTAGAAAAAATGAGGAATAAAAAGCAAATAAAATAAGTGATAGGAATGTATAAACTATCTTGGTATAATATTATTCAGTTAGAGCACTGGAGAAAGGATTGGTTAAAAAGAAATAGTTTATACAGTGGTGCCTCACTAGATAGTTACCCTGCATGACAGTTTTTCACTAGACATTGACTTTTTGCAATCGCTATAGCGATTCGCAAAACAGTGATTCCTGTGGGGGAATTTCGCTGGACAATGTTTGGTCCCTGCTTCGCAAACCAACGATTTTGACAGCTCCCTCCATGCTCGCAAAACGGGTGTTTTCGGGACCTAAGCTTCGCAAGACAGCTATTTAAACAGCTAATCTGCGGTTCGCAAAGCGGCTTTCCTATGGCCAATCGTCGCTAGACAACGACGATTCTTCCCCATTGGAACGCATTAAACAGGTTTTAATGCATTCCAATGGGGAAATGCTTTTCACTAGACGATTTCGCTAAACAGCGATTTCAGTGGAACGTATTATCGTCTAGCGAGGCACCACTGTATAGGGAATTTACAAAATTTGAATCATAGAAGCATAGAATAATTGAGTTGGAAGGGGCCTATAAGGCCATCGAGTCTAACCCCCTGCTCAATGCAGAAATACAAATGAAAGCAGATCTGACAAATGGTTGTCCAGTTTTCTGTTGAATGCCTCTAGCACTGAAGTGCTCACCACCTCCCAAGGTAATTGGTTCTATTGTTGTACTGCTCTATCAGTTAATACATTTTTCCTGATATTCAGACTAAATCTGTCTTGCAGTAGCTTGAGTCCATTGTTATGTGTCCTGTACTTTGAGATAACTGAGAACAGATCTTGCCCCTCCTTTGTATGACTATCTTTCAGATATTTGATAAGTGCTTTCCTATTTTCCCTGTCTTCTTTTCTCAAGGCTAAACATGCCCAGTTCTTTCAGTGTTTCTTCATAGGGCATGGTTTCCAGGCTCTGATCTTAATCCAGTTTGTTGATATCCTTCTGAAATTGTGGTGTCCAGAACTGGACACAGTACTCTAGGATGAGGCCCAACCAGTGCTGAATAGAGGGGGACTAGTATCTCATGGGATTTTCAGACTCTACTTCTGTTAATGCATCCTGAAATTGCATCTGCCTTTTATTGCAGCCACATTGCACTGTTGGCTTGTACTGTATTCAGCTTCTGATTTACATTTCCAAGGTCCTCCTCACTCGTAGTAATACTGAGCCAAGTATTCCCCATCTTGTAACTGCATTTGGGTTTTTTTCCCAGGTGTAGAACTTCGTGCTTACCTCCCCTAAAATCATTCTTTTGTTCTCAGCCCCATGCTCAAGCCTGTTAAAATATTTTTGAATCTTGTTTCTGTTTTCCAAAATATTAACTATCCCACCCAATTTTGTGTCATCTGCAAATCTGATTATTCCCTGCACTCTCTCATCAGAGTCATTAATAAAAATGTTGAAGAGTACCAGGCCCAGGACTGAACCTTGTGGTGCCCCACTTGTTACCGCCACTACCTCCTCTCAGTTTGAGAAGCAACCATTGATAAGCACCTCTGAGTATGATTCTTTAACTAGCTGTATATTCACTTGACAGTTGTTCCATCCAACCCACACCTGGTTAACTTGATAATCTGAATATCATAGGGCACTTTCTCAAAGGATTTGCTGAAGTCAAGATATAGTACACCTACAGCATTCCGTCTACCAGGGAGGTTACCTGATCAAAAAACTGAGATCAGATTAGTCTGGCAAGATTTGTTCTTGACAAATCCATGCTGGCATCCAGCTATTACTGCATTGTTTTCAAGGTGACTGCTTTATAATCTGCTCCAGAATTTTCCCCTCAAATTGATGTCAGGCTGACTGGTCTGCAGTTCCCTGGTTACTCCTTTTTGAAGACTGATAATGTTAGCCCCCTCCAATTGTCTAGCATTTCACCTCTCCTCCATAATTTCCTCAATGTGAAGACATCTTGTTACAAAAGGAAAATGCAGGTGAAAAAAAAGTAATTAAAAGAACAGTAAGTAATATTTATATTATTGGAAGCAAAAGATCATGAGGATTTATTTTAAACATTATGGGAATCTGATCTAGGGAAGAAATAAGCAGCTGTGTTTGGGAAAAATGTATGGAATATTAGAATATTGAAATCTATGTCAGTAGGGTCATCCACACACTTGTATTTCCAATCACCATGTATGAGTGTGAATGGTAAACAAAGCTGACAGGAAAAAGTGATTCATTTGAATTGTGTTGCTGGAGGAGAGCTTTGCGGATACCCTGGACTGCCAGGTGATCAAGTGGGTCCTAGATCAAATCAAGCCAGAACCATCTCTAGAGACAAAAAATTTGAAACTGAGACTGACCTATTTTGGGGACATTATGAAAAGACAAGATTCTCTGGGGAAAAAAACAACGCTGGGAAAGGTAAGGCAGCAAGAAAATAGGAAGACCAAATACAAGACAGACTCACTCCCTAAAGAAAGCCACAGTCTTGAGTGTACAAGAACGGAGCAATGGCAGCTGAGGACAGGACATTTTGGAGATTGCTCATTCATGGGTTTGCCGTAAGTAAAGGCACATGACAATAACAGCAACAAGGACAAAAGAAAAACTTTGTAAGTTAGTTTGGAGCTGGTACTTAATGCCAGTGAAATTAAATCAAATAAATGCCAGTTATTCTAAGACATATGTGCTGGAGAGAGTGCCAAAAAGTAGGTACACAGTTTCCCCTTCAACAATGCTGGGGTTAAAAGCTGTGTAGCTGAAAATTCATGTATAAGTCTTATGCCCCCCCACAACTGCAAAGCATAAACAGTTGATTAATA